GAAAATTAATGGACAGACACAGCCAGGGTGCAGCATGTCCATATGAACACACGGAACAAGTTAAAGACATGCAGAGACAGGGTGCCGCATGTCCATGTGAACATATGGAACAAGTTCGAGACAGACACAGCCAGGGTGCCGCATGTCCATGTAAATACACGGAACAAGTTATAGACAGACACAGCCAGGGTGCCGCATGTCCATGTGGACACAAGTAACAAGATATGGACAGACACAGCAAAAGGGTGCCGCATATCCATGTGAACATATGGAACAAGTTATGGACAGACACAGCAAGTGTGCCGCATGTCCATGTGAACATATGGAACAAGTTATGGACAGACACAGCAAGAGTGCCGCATGTCCATGTGAACATATGGAACAAGTTATGGAAAGACACAGCAAGAGTGCTGCATCTATGTGAACATATGGAACAAGTTATGGACAGACACAGCAAGGGTGCCGCACGTCGATATGAACATACGGAACAAGTTATAAACAGACACAACTAGAGTGCTGCATGTCCATGTGAACACACGGAACAAGTTATGGAAAGACACAGCCAGGGTGCCGCATGTCCATGTGAACATATGGAACAAGTTATGGACAGACACAGCAAGTGTGCCGCATGTCCATGTGAACATATGGAACAAGTTATGGACAGACACAGCAAGTGTGCCGCATGTCCATGTGAACATATGGAACAAGTTATGGACAGACACAGCAAGCGTACCGCATGTCCATGTGAACACTCGTAACAAGATATGGACAGACACAGCCAGAGTGCCGCATGTCCATGTGAACAGATGGAACAAGTTATAGACAGACACAGCAAGGTTGCCGCATGTCGATGTAAACACACGGAACAAGTTATAGACAGACACAGCCAGGGTGCCGCATGTCCATGTGAACACACGTAACAAGATATGGACAGACATAGCAAGGGTGCCGCACGTCGATATGAACATACGGAACAAGTTATAAACAGACACAACCAGAGTGCTGCATGTCCATGTGAACACATGGAACAAGTTATGGACAGACACAGCCAGGGTGCCGCATGTCCATGTGAACAGATGGAACAAGTTATAGACAGACACAGCAAGGTTGCCGCATGTCGATGTAAACACACGGAACAAGTTATAGACAGACACAGCCAGGGTGCCGCATGTCCATGTGAACACACGTAACAAGATATGGACAGACACAGCAAGGGTGCCGCATGTCCATGTGAACATATGGAACAAGTTATGGACAGACACAGCAAGGGTGCCGCATGTCCATGTGAACATATGGAACAAGTTATGGACAGACACAGCCAGGATGCGCATGTCCATGTGAACATATGGAACCAGTTATGGACAGGCACAATAAGGGTGCCGAATGTCCATGTGAACATATGGAACAAGTTATGGACAGACACAGCAAGTGTGCCGCATGTCCATGTGAACATATGGAACAAGTTATTGACAGACACAGCCAGGGTGCCGCATGTCTATGTGAACACACGGAACAAGTTATGGACAGACACAGCCAGGGTGCCGCATGTCCATGTGAACACACGGAACAAGTTATGGACAGACACAGCAAGGGTGCCGCATGTCCATGTGAACATATGGAACAAGTTATGGACAGACACAGCCAGGGTGCCGCATGTCTATGTGAACATATTGAACAAGTTATGGACAGACACAGCCAGGGTGCCGCAAGTCCATGTGAACATATTGAATAAGTTATAGACAGACACAGCAAGGGTGCCGCATGTCCATGTGAACAGATGGAAAATTAATGGACAGACACAGCCAGGGTGCAGCATGTCCATATGAACACACGGAACAAGTTAAAGACATGCAGAGACAGGGTGCCGCATGTCCATGTGAACATATGGAACAAGTTCGAGACAGACACAGCCAGGGTGCCGCATGTCCATGTAAATACACGGAACAAGTTATAGACAGACACAGCCAGGGTGCCGCATGTCCATGTGGACACAAGTAACAAGATATGGACAGACACAGCAAAAGGGTGCCGCATATCCATGTGAACATATGGAACAAGTTATGGACAGACACAGCAAGTGTGCCGCATGTCCATGTGAACATATGGAACAAGTTATGGACAGACACAGCAAGAGTGCCGCATGTCCATGTGAACATATGGAACAAGTTATGGAAAGACACAGCAAGAGTGCTGCATCTATGTGAACATATGGAACAAGCTATGGACAGACACAGCAAGGGTGCCGCACGTCGATATGAACATACGGAACAAGTTATAAACAGACACAACTAGAGTGCTGCATGTCCATGTGAACACACGGAACAAGTTATGGAAAGACACAGCCAGGGTGCCGCATGTCCATGTGAACATATGGAACAAGTTATGGACAGACACAGCAAGTGTGCCGCATGTCCATGTGAACATATGGAACAAGTTATTGACAGACACAGCCAGGGTGCCGCATGTCTATGTGAACACACGGAACAAGTTATGGACAGACACAGCCAGGGTGCCGCATGTCCATGTGAACACACGGAACAAGTTATGGACAGACACAGCAAGGGTGCCGCATGTCCATGTGAACATATGGAACAAGTTATGGACAGACACAGCCAGGGTGCCGCATGTCTATGTGAACATATTGAACAAGTTATGGACAGACACAGCCAGGGTGCCGCATGTCCATGTGAACATATTGAATAAGTTATAGACAGACACAGCAAGGGTGCCGCATGTCCATGTGAACAGATGGAAAATTAATGGACAGACACAGCCAGGGTGCAGCATGTCCATATGAACACACGGAACAAGTTAAAGACATGCAGAGACAGGGTGCCGCATGTCTATGTGAACATATGGAACAAGTTCGAGACAGACACAGCCAGGGTGCCGCATGTCCATGTAAATACACGGAACAAGTTATAGACAGACACAGCCAGGGTGCCGCATGTCCATGTGGACACAAGTAACAAGATATGGACAGACACAGCAAAAGGGTGCCGCATATCCATGTGAACATATGGAACAAGTTATGGACAGACACAGCAAGTGTGCCGCATGTCCATGTGAACATATGGAACAAGTTATGGACAGACACAGCAAGAGTGCCGCATGTCCATGTGAACATATGGAACAAGTTATGGAAAGACACAGCAAGAGTGCTGCATCTATGTGAACATATGGAACAAGTTATGGACAGACACAGCAAGGGTGCCGCACGTCGATATGAACATACGGAACAAGTTATAAACAGACACAACTAGAGTGCTGCATGTCCATGTGAACACACGGAACAAGTTATGGAAAGACACAGCCAGGGTGCCGCATGTCCATGTGAACAGATGGAACAAGTTATGGAAAGACACAGCCAGGGTGCCGCATGTCCATGTGAACAGATGGAACAAGTTATAGACAGACACAGCAAGGTTGCCGCATGTCGATGTAAACACACGGAACAAGTTATAGACAGACACAGCCAGGGTGCCGCATGTCCATGTGAACACAAGTAACAAGATATGGACAGACATAGCAAGGGTGCCGCATGTCCATGTGAACATATGGAACAAGTTATGGACAGACACAGCAAGGGTGCCGCATGTCCATGTGAACACATGGAATAAGTTATAGACAGACACAGCAACCGTGCCGCATGTCCATGTGAACATATGAAACAAGTTATGGACAGACACAGCCAGGGTGCCGCATGTGCATGTGAACATATGGAACAAGTTATAGACAGACACAGCAAGGGTGCCGCATGTCTATGTGAACATATGGAACAAGTTATGGACATACACAGCAAGGGTGCCGCATGTCCATGTGAACATATTGAACAAGTTATGGACAGACACAGCCAGGGTGCCGCATGTCCATGTGAACATATGGAACAAGTTATGGACAGACACAGCCAGGGTGCCGTATGTCCATGTGAACATATGGAACAAGTTATGGACAGGCACAGTAAGGGTACCGAATGTCCATGTGAACATATGGAACAAGTTATGGACAGACACAGCAAGTGTGCCGCATGTCCATGTGAACATATGGAACAAGTTATTGACAGACACTGCAAGGGTGCCGCATGTCCATGTGAACATATGGAACAAGTTATGGACAGACACAGCCAGGGTGCCGCATGTCCACGTGAACATATGGAACAAGTTATGGAAAGACACAGCAAGAGTGCCGCATGTCCATGTGAACATATGGAACAAGTTATGGACAGACACAGCAAGCGTGCCGCATGTCCATGTGAACACACGTAACAAGATATGGACAGACACTGCCAGGGTGCCGCATGACCATGTGAACATATGGAACAAGTTATCGACAGACACAGGAAGAGTGCCGCATGTCCATGTGGACATATGGAACAAGTTATACACAGATACAGCCAGGGTGCCGCAATTAATTCAATTAAAATAATTATTTGCATTATTGTATCATTTGATCAAGAAAGTACTGCCGCGATATAACTGGAATAATGTTAAAAGCGGCATTAAAACCAACTCACTCACTCACTCAAGATAGTACTTAGTGCCGTTCTACAAATTACAGTAATTAAGAAAAGAAAAACATATATGTAAAAAGAAATGACAAGAATGTTCAGAAAAGAATGTAAAGAAAAGGAAGAATGTAAACAGGAAAGAATAAAGAAATCATATAATAAAGAAATAAAGAATTGGTGAGTTTAGTTAGAAGTCTGATGAAGACAGTACAACCATCGTGTATAAAGATATTTCCCTTCATAGTCATGTAGCACGGTCCTTTTCTGTGATCTCATTCGATATTCATATTCAATGAGCAAGGTAAAATTAACGTTGTATCTGTTTCGGAAGAGGGGTGCTTAGTTGATACATGTATTCTTACCATGACACGTGCTTTTGTTTTTTCCCCATCCCATTTAATTATATGTTCGCATGTTTGAATACCATGAGTGCTGAGAGATTTCATGATTTAACGTTTTACAACATATGACATATCCCCATTTCCTGCATTCTTTAAAGAGAGGCATGTGACTGGAACACATTATACACTGCAGTGAACCCGTGTTGCTTTGCTATCAGAGCAGCAGTTAACCCCTGTTTGGTTTTTAAGGCAATTTCTACACTCGCATGTGAAATGATGTATTTCACCATTTCCACCCTGTTTTCCGAAGTTGCATGATGAAGGATGGTGTTCCCATATATATCCGTCACTGTCGGATCAGCTCCTTTCTTCACAAGTTCCTCAAATATACGTATATTCCCAAATCCTGCAGCAACAAAAGCTGGGGTCCTTCCTTTGTTTCCTCTAACGTTGATATCCACAATGTTGCGGGAAACCAGGTACCTCACTATCTGAATGTTGACTCTACATGCCAAATGAAGGATAGTGTCGCGATCTTTACGTCTTTGTGTCAAATCAGCACCTTTCTTCACCAGTAAATCAAACACATCTTTGTAACCCAAACTTGCCGCAAACATCACAGGTGTGCCAAACTCTCCTGTCCTGTTAATGCGTCGTACAATGGTGTTTACCGTTAGGACGTACTTCACAATGTCCAGATTTCCTCCAGCACACGCCTTCTGAATAATGTCGTTACCGCCAAAATCTACACTTGACAGATCAGCTCCTTTACTCACAACTAAATCAAATACATCTCTGTCCCCGAACAATGCTGACAGTAATGCTGGTGTAAGAAGTTGGTCGTATACATCGTTGATGTTGACAGTGCTATGTGTAAGGATAAATTTGATAGTCTCCCTGTCTCTGGACGAAAATGCAAAATAAAGAATGTCTGCTCTTGAATCATCAACGGCGTTCAGATCAGCTCCTGTATTCATGAGCAGATGTAACACCTCTTTGTGGCCACTGTCGGCTGCTACCAATGCTGGCGTGACCCCAACCATGTTCCTACTATTGATGTCCACAATGTTCTTTGTTAGAACATAACTAACTAGCTCAACATTACCGCCTTTACAGGCCATGTGGAGAATATTGTTTTTAGCTCTATCGAATAGCGATAGATCAGCTCTTTTCTCCTGCAGTAAGACGAATATATCTTTGTGTCCCATGGATGCTGCTGTCATTGCTGGTGTCATTCCAATGTTTCCTCTACTGTTGATGTCCACAATGTTCTGATTGAGGACATACGTCACCAGCTTCATGCTTCCTCCTCTACAAGCCTCATGTAGGATGTTGTCACCATCTTCAGTCTGTATAATCAGGTCTGCTCCTTTCGCAACAAGCAGGTCAAACACTTCCCCATGTCCATTATGTGCAGCTACTAACACTGCCGTAACCCCAATAGTGGCCTTGGCGTTAATGGGTGTAACATTCTGCCTAAGAATATACTGAACTATTTCAACATTACCTCCTTCACAGGCTGCGTGAAGAACATTTCTATCTGCAACATCCAGAAGGGCCATATTAGCTCCTTTGTTCACCAGTAGGTCAAAGACATCTTTGTGTCCCTTGGTTGCCGCATTCAGTATCGGTGTGCAGTCGTCCGCGTTTCTACTGTTTACGTCCACGTGTTTTTCTGTAAAGACATGATTAACTATCTCAATACTCCCCCCTGAACAAGCCAGATGTAATATTGTGTTTAGTTCTGAATCCACAAATGACAGATCAGTTCCTTTCCTCACAAGTAACTCAAACACGTCTTTGTTGCCAGTGAGGGCTGCTTTCATAGCTGTTGACTGCAACAACTTGTCTCTGCTGTCGATGTCAACAATATCCTTTGTGAGGATATAGTTCACTATACCTATGTTTCCTCCTTCACAGGCAATGTGTAGAATCGTTTTTCTGTCCTTATCCAGGAGAGATAGATCCGCTCCTTCCCTCACAAGTAAGTCAAACATGTCTTTGTCTGCTCTCCCTGCTGCAAGCATCACTGGGGTCCTCCTGTTCAGACCTCTGGTGTTGATGACTGCCTGGGCCTCGAGCAGGATGAGTTGGACTCCACACAGGTTACCATCCATGGTGGAACTGAGAATGTTAGTGTGAGGCTGGGTCAGGTACTGCTGCTTGTTTCCCTCTGCTGTAAGACAGGAACATATTATTCGTTATGGTGCTTTTATTTACAGTATACGATGTCATATTAGGTTCGCAGAACAATATTGGGCGGGGCGTCATAATATGACACCGTATACGGCCACTAAAGAGACCATACCGAATTTATTATGCCGATAATATGACACAATTTGGTATCTTTGTCGCACATGACATGTCAAAACTTAAAACTCAAAACTTGACACATACAACATTAGACGTTACGGGTCAAAGGGAGACTACTCTTCCAAACTCAGAGGCGAAACATTGTTGGTGATTTTAGCTTCATATGATCGTTACTAAAGTTTTTATAAACGAATTTTGGTACCAGAATTTTCATGTGACATATGTGAGGTGGGTGTTGGAAAATCAAAAAATGGCTGTTACTGACGGTATACGGACTCATAGTAGGTCATTAACAACCATCTTGGATTTTTACTGACGTTATACGGGCTCATAATGGGTTAGTAGTTTGCTCTCTGACTGGTCAATGTCACTTTGAGGCATGAAAAAGGAAAGGATTATGTAATGGCACTTAGATTTAACTCGGCTTGTGTAGTTATAGATTAATCAACTCGGTATGAGTGATTATGTAAAATACGTCACAAGTGAAATTAATTTTGTAAGTTCCTGGCTAAAGCTCGGAACTTAAAACACTAATTTGACGAGTGACCTATAGCTATATTCTGTAATCACTCGTACCGAGGGGGTCATTTTGTTTATTGTCCATAATCATATTTCATATTAATTACGTTTCAAGGGGAAAAAACCCTGTCCCTGATCAAGGAGCAGCTGTTTTGTATCCGCGTGTGACAAAACAGTGTCCACTCAGTCTAATCACATTACTCTCTTAACGTGTTGTTACGCGAGAAAAGTATAGTTCTGTATAAAGATCACATTATTTCAGTTATATTTCTGTCTGATTTACAAAGCCTACAGTACCACACACTGATAAAGAAGACAAGTTTCTAAAAAGGTTCTTCGTTTTTTTTAATCAAGGCTTGTTTTGACAAGATCTCGTCACTGACACAGACAGCCGCCGTCGTGCATCGGCAGAGACATAGAGAATACTACACTCATTTTCGTTGGTTACCATTTTTACGATACAAGTGGACTATCTATGGTATCTGACCGAGCGAAACGAGGGGTCCCGTCTGTGCAAGCAAAATGGTTCGGTTTCCATTCATGTTAACTGTACCACCCTATACACCGTTATAAATATATAATCTGAGCGATAAAAGAAAGTATAGGTTGGCAATTTGTAATTTTCCTAAAACTAGTGGATCAGTAAAATGTTTTATAGGTGTTCGGGCAACTAGGCCCATTTACACCTTGCCCATAATAAAGGTTCGCTAAGTACATAGAAATTGTATAAAGTATTAAACTGTCACACGCTTTAATATAAACGAGAATGACATTCTGAACATCATGGTGAACAATATTCCTAGAACATAAAATACCAGACAATGAGAAGTCAATATTGAGAACTGTAAGAGAATCCACCATTGCCTTACGCTGATTAACATACCGTTGGCAATGCAATAACAGATTAGCTACATTATCAAACTGATTACACACTGTACAATGTGCTGAAATGTCTTTATCAATAACATTTAGATAAGCACCAAGACCACAATGCCCAAGACAATGTCTAGTTAAGAGAACCTCCTCTCTCCGATTATATCTAGATATGTGTAATTCAGTGATAAAAGGATCGATGCCAAAAAGATGACGTCCTTTTAAGGACGATGTCATTCTCTGCTGCCATTTTGTGTTAGCATGGGTCATACTGACGGTGCCCAACTCTGCAGGAGAAGGACAAATTGTTTCGTCTTGTTCTGATTCGTCAAATTCTAATGCAGCTTTTGCCAATTTATCAGTTTTCTCATTTCCAAGTAATCCACCATGAGCAGGGATCCATGAAAATTCAACATCTAACAGAACTTTACTTAAGTCATTACAAAGGACGAGAATAATGTTGATCAAGTCCTGCCTCACTAAGGAAGAACCTACCCGAATTGCTTGTAATGGACTGACAGTAACTGAAAATAACCGCTGAAACAGGCCTTAAAAAACTAATCCAACGCAGTGCTACACTGATTGCTCCTAGTTCAGCAGAAAATACTGATGAGTGATCAGCCAATAGGATAGAAAGTTTTCTCTTTTCATTAACGATGAATATACCATGACCAACACGACCGGACACTGGGCACTTACAGCAATCAGTGTAAATCTGCATGGCATTTAACCACTGTAAACCTCGGATATGTTCCTCAGCTATAGTTTTAACTCGAGGTGCTGGCTCACATTTATTTTCCCGCTCCAGGACATCAAGATAAACTGATCGCAGTTCAAGCAGCCATGGTGGCTTTTTAGGCAGAACATTAGTGTAATCTATTGCAACATCACGCACAGTATGATTGAAAGCCGTTCTCTGAGATCGCATCCCATGAGGCCCCATACCATTCCCCAAGTGTCGTGAAAATATTCAATACAATCATTCAAAACAGTTGACGTTGAGTGTTTACTCCCAACAGATTTCAATTTTAACATATATCTAACGTCTAACATTTCACGCCTGAGATCTAAAGGCATTTCACCTGATTCAGCTTATAAAGCCTCAACAGAGGTGGTCCTGAATGGTCCCAGACATAATCTTAGGGCTTTTAAGTGAACAACATCAAGTCCTGCTTTTTGTGTACATGTGCAGATCCATGGGCTTGACAACCGAAATCAAGTCTAGATCTAATGAGGGTTCTTTGTAACATTAACAAACACTTCCTGTTTGCACCCCATTTGGTACTGGAAATACTTCTCAGGAGGTTCAGGACTTTATTGCATTTCTGAATCAGAAAGTCCAACCGTGGCTTCCAGGTGAGCCTCTTATCAAACCAGAGACCTAAAAACTTGACTATATCCACAAACTCCAATTCAGAACCACACAAGACTAATTGTGAATTATGAGGAATCTTTTTCTGAGTAATGATCATAGCAGAAGATTTAGAAGCTGAAATATTAAAACCCCAATGTTCACACCAATTCTGTACAAGGTAGAGAGATTGTTGAACACCTTTGAAGACAGTGTCAAAATTACCGGACCTTTTCCACAACGCTCCATCATCTGCAAACTGTGATGTTTCAACCAGGAAATTAATATTCTCAAACAAATCATTTATCATAACATTAAATAATGTTTGGCTGATCACACTTCCTTGAGGTGTTCCATTCTCTAAAATATATATATCTGATAGTGAAGTTCCAATACGAACTTGCATAGTTCTATCCGTTAAGAAATATTTTATCCAATCAGGCATACGTCCACAAAATCCAAGGTTATACAGTTTTATTATCGAACCATCCCTCCACAACATGTCATTTGCTTTTTCAATGTCCATGATCAGCACAAGACCTATTTTTTCTAAAGCCTGATTGAACGTCTGAAAACAGATTGTTCTTTGCCATGAAGTACACCAGGCGGTTATTTACCATTATCCCCATTATTTTACACAATGTTAGAGGTAAGAGCAATAGGTCTGTAGGATGTGGCTTCAGTAGGATCTTTACCAGGCTTCGGAATTTGAACTACTGTTGCTTTCTCCAAGAAATGGGAAGCGCGCCTTCAAACCAAATATAATTAAACGGTAAAAGCATGGTTCCAAGGCTGATAAGGGGAAGATGTTTAAACATATCATAGCATAAAGAATCATCTCCTGGAGAAATTACTTTACGTCCAGAAATAGCATTCTTTAATTCCTGGAAACTAAATAATGAGTTGTTATCAGCTATATGATATGTTTGACAATGTAAAATGTCCGAGAATTCTGATTTAAGTGTTTCCTTAAAGAGGAACAAATCTGAGTTGAAGTTATCTGTATTCAATACTTATTGAAATTACTGAGCCAGTGCATTACTCTTGTCTATACTTGTTGTTGCAGGCGTGACTTTACAAATAGACGGAATTATATCAAGATTTGAACTTGAACTACCAGAAATCTTTTTCACTTTCCTCCATACCTGAGATAGAGGTGTATTTCTATTTAAAGTGCTGGTGTAATTAGACCAAGGCAAACGTTTTGCTTCAATAACAGTTCTTTTAAAGAATGCGGAAGTGCGCCTATGCTCGATTAAATCACACGGCAAATCTGATTTTTCAACAATTGTTTTTTGCCCTCTTCCTGGCATCATGTGCTGATTGACATGTATCCATCCACCAACAAACAGGCGTTTTAAGCCGACGTTTACTAGAACTTCTGCCTATAAATCTATTGTCAGCATCAATAATGTTAGAGAATAGAGTTTACAGCAGGCGTGATGGTGTCAGAGCACAGGATAATGATCACTACCAAAAGAATCCTGCAAATACACTCTCCAATAACAATGTGGAGCCAGTTGTGGACTGGTCAAATCCAGGGCCGAAAATGAAGCAGAAGCCAAGTCATACCCGGTCATAGAACAATCATTAAGAAGGAAAATATTCTTTCATCAAGCAGTGTTTTAATGGCTCTACCTCCAGCATCCAACTTACTAGCTCCCCACAATGGACTATGACTATTAAAATCACAACACACTACTGTAAGATTGTCTGACTTGTTCAAAAGAGAAATATATTCATCGTAGGTAGCACGAGCATTATTATAGACAATAAAAATGGAAACCGATCTTTTATTCTTCAAATGAATATCGACTGAATTCGCTTCTAATTGAGATTGTGGCAACCTAAGTTCACGAAGTTTCCTTTATGAGTATAGCACAACCACCTCTAGAACCAACCTGACGATCTTAACGTAGGCAGACATAACCTTCCCAACGGAATTGCTGTTTAGGATTCAGGAACGTCTCCTGAAGACATATAACATCAGGCATTGGAACAAGACTGTTAATAAAAACCTTGGATCCCAGACCATTAGCATTTACTGATCTAGCATTCCACTGAAGGATCAAGAAAGCCATAAGAAGGATTAAGACTTTTGTTGCTGACCCTTAACCATGCTCGTCAGATCATCAGGGGACAATTTTAACCACAAGAGGGACTGGGCAACCGACGTTATCGTCTGGAGACCATCAGACTTGAATGCACGAGTAGTGCCAAAATTAGCAACTATACAAATAACAAAGTTGAGAAATTCAACAGGAGAGACATTGTTGAATAGAGGTTTGCAAGATGATTGAGGCATGGTGTCAACAACAGGATCAGTCTGACATTCAACTTCCAGAGTTTCAGTCTGAGTACTGGCAGTCACCATGACTGGAGAAGACACAACATCAGAAATTGTAACAAACTGAGACAGTCGTTTAGCTGCAGGAAGTGGTTTAGGGACTGTTGGAACCTGAGCGATATCTAAATCTCGACGCACCTGTCGAACAGCCTGAGAATAAGACAACTTACCCTCAACTTGGACTTTCTGAATCTGGACAGCTTCCTGGTATTTAATACAACCTGTGTATGCCACAGAGTGTGCACGACCACAGTTCTTACATTTAAGAGAACTTTCATTTCACTCCTCATATTTGTGCTTCCCTCCACATTTGGCGCACACATGATGAGTGCTTCTACAATTAGCAGAGACATGCCCAAAGGACTGACACTTGAAGCATCACAGAGCAGGAGGAACATACATCCGGATTGGAAATGTCTGGAAGAAAATGACAACATGATCTTGTAAAGACTGGCCAGTAAATGTTAGCAGAACAGATTTGGTAGGAACTTTATGAGGTCCACGAGCCACACACACAGCAGAGCACGTTAGAGGTTTTAACTCGTCCTCAATTTCACTCATCTCAATATCCAGATCAATACCATAGATGACTCCACGTGTTCTCATTAATGATTCAGGTTCATGTGTGGTGACAACATGTTCATCAAGTTCTGTCACCTGCAAAGTGTTTTGGCAGCCTCAACAGTTTTTGCTGTGACACTAACATCTCCCCTGGCCATCCGCTTAACGCTGACTATTTCTGTAGTGATCATAGTCAAGGTTCTAGCCAAAGCATAAGTATCATAAGTTGACAGATGGTCGTTGAACCATCATTATATTCATCTACATCGGCTTTGAAGATAACAGTGGTTGGTTTGATCTGCGCTGGCTCATCAAAGACAAAAGTAAGATCAGACCATGCAGTAGGAGGGACATTATTTGGTTGCTTGGCAACAAAAGCTTTTTCAGAAGTACCATCAGGAATACGATCGATTCGCTTCCTCCCTGAAGCCACCACTTTAAATCCTTCCGCACATTCCATTCTGTTGTCAGCCATTGCCGAGGACAATCCCCAACAACTGACTGTAACAATCAGCAAACACCAAATAGAAATCAAAAGCCAAACGAACCAAAGAGGAAGTGTCATAAACAATCAAGTGTTGTATAACACTAGACAAGTTGCTGAGAAGCAAAAGACGTCCGAACTCGACGGCAGTCAAGACCGAACGCCATAGCTTGTGGAAAGTGGGTATTGGGAATATGGGTGCCCAGGAACAGGTACCAAAAAACACCTCACCCCGAAAGCACCACCTTTGGCGGGGCTCGTGCGCTGACAAAACAATGGTGAATCAGGTTTCCCGCCTATGGCATAAACTGTACGTGCAGGGTATAACCACACGTGATGAAAGCACACAAAAGAAATACCACGACTGTCACAGGTGCAGAGAGAGAGAGCCATCGGTATGGCCCAAATGGGGGCAACACAGGTCCAAATTACGAGAAGGTTTGGTTGTACACCACTGACAGTAGCCAGGCTGATTCAACGGTACAGTCAGACGGGGAGGACACAGGGCAGGCCTATAACCGGACGACTCCGAGGGACAACACCACTGGAAGACGGTCAGATACGGCTCATTCACCTGCGAAACAGATTCGTAACGGCGACGGCGACGGCGACGGCGACGGCGACGGCAGCAACAGCGTTGGAACATCCCATTGGACGCACTCATTGGACGCACCAACCAAAAGCTAAAAGCGGAAGAGTAATTTTGAACCCGTCGACACTGGACTTCTTTTGGCTGGCATTCTCACGAATATTGAAACCTTTGCAAGTCCATGTTTTTCGTGAGAGGTTGGCAATTGAGTGTACATAAAACTTCCCTAAGATGTAAAAATCATTGCCAATAATGGAAAATAAAACATTATTTCACAAAGAATAAAAAAGGAAAAGGATCATACAAAATGCTTCGAATTCAACAAATTCTATGAAGTAGTGTCAAACCAGGACTAGTACGTAAAAGGAAAGGACACACATATTAATATTTTGTAGATCTATTCAGATTTATTTGTGAAAAGAAAAACATTTATCTTTTTTTGGAATCATTACAAGTGAAAATACAACGAGAAGCGAGGAGGAAAAGGAAGTGGACGGATCTGAAGGCAGCAGTAAAAAAAGGCAAAAAGTGGAAGGCAAGAAAACCAAAGTAAAAGCGCTGGGGGCCACCCCTGATGAACTCTTCTCAATACAAAAATAGTTAATAACATATTTCAATGATACTCTTTTCCATTATATAGTGATATAAACTATCATGAAATCACACAAAATGACAGAATTTTGGCAGAAACAAATAAACATTTCCTCCTTTGGAGTGGAAGATAATAATCTGTCTTATGAATCCGTAACATGTTATTAGGAGGTCAGCGTTCTTCACGGCTGATGTTGTTTGGCCTCCCTGCTCTTTCAACATCAGTCGTGAAAATCAAACAACTTGTAATCGTAATATTATTACTTTACAAACTAATTGAGTAGGAAACATTTCGGAATTTACCTTCCACACAGACAGTCTTTCCAGCATAGGTCTCGAGGCACCTCCCACCTTGGCAAGTCTTCAATGAACATGATCCAGCTTTAACCTGAGGACAACAGTATGTAATGTGCAATAGCAAATAATTCGTGTGCCAAAGACAAGTGGCTCTTTTCGGCAGAGGAATGTATTTCTATATTTTGTAATTATATTTTGGATGCTCTTCGATCAGATGAAATGAATATGAAAGCGTGACTACAATATTATAATATTATGATGTATCTATCAGTACCCTTTACACACTTTGTATCTGTCAGTACCCTATACACACAATGTATCTATCAGTACCCTATACACACAATGTATCTATCAGTACCCTATACACACAATGTATCTATCAGTACCCTATACACACAATGCATCTATCATGACCCTATACACACAATGCATCTATCATGACCCTATACAAACAATGTATCTTTCAGTACCCTATACACACAATGTATCTATCAGTACCCTATACACACAATGCATCTATCATGACCCTATACACACAATGCATCTATCATGACCCTATACAAACAATGTATCTTTCAGTACCCTATACACACAATGTATCTTTCAGTACCCTATACACACAATGTATCTATCAGTACCCTATACACACAATGCATCTATCATGACCCTATACACACAATGCATCTATCATGACCCTATACAAACAATGTATCTTTCAGTACCCTATACACACAATGTATCTATCAGTACCCTATACACACAATGTATCTATCAGTACCCTTTACACACAGTGTATGTATCATGACCCTATACAAACAATGTATCTTTCAGTACCCTATACACACAATGTATCTGTCAGTACCATGTACACTCAATATCGCTCGCCGACTTAGTTGATGCATGTCATCGATCCCAATTGTGTGGCTTGATGCTCATGATGTCAATCACTGGATTGTCTGCTCCAGACTCGATTATCTACAGATTATTTACAATTGTGAACGATGCATATTTCTATACCTGCATTGGGATACCAATGTAATCTGCAAAATAAAATAATGAACTTTATCTGATCTTAAATGCCCGAAATCATGTACATTTTAATCTAAGTACAGGATATCCAAATAGGATTACTGGGCCATTATTCCCAAGCTCTGTGCATCCTATTGCAATGATCAACAAGGGAATATGCCCATAGAACCTCAAGTCACAAAATATGATGGCTCGTTGCACCACGTCGCACAGCCTTACAGCCTTGGCTGAAACCTGTTGAAACCTAATGCGTGCCTTGCAAGTCAAATTACCCAACTACTAACTTTTGTGTTTCTTTTTGGTATGAAAACACATTTTCCATATTCTTCTATTTTGTCCTGTTGTCGCTGGAACAAGGAGCACACGAGGTTGACAGAATCGTAACCAAAGCTCCTACATGATCCTCTGGTTGTGCATTTTTCATTGCACATATTGACACCAATAGAGGAAAATATTTCTATTGTCTGCGTTTCTACTGTTTCTGTAGTGCCAGAGTGATGTTTTAGTCCAACAGTGGCCGTCAAACACCACATTAGACCCAACAGTACAAGAGACATGATTTCACTCAAGTAAGTGACCGACAGTTTTATGAACTTCCAGAGCCTTACAACTTAGAAGACATAGGCATGTTGTCTAGACCGCCATCACCAGTATAATAGTTCATATAAAATGACAGTGTCTATTCTTTCATTGATCTTCTTAGACCCTTACTTATTTATACAATTGTAAATCAGCCTATATCTCGAAATTGTTACTCATATATCTCACAACATATTTAATGATTTAATGATTAACCTTTACTTATCTACTTAAAAGGATATATCTACATGCCTATACCTATATATATATATATATATATATATATATATATATATATATATATATATATATATATTCACATCTCGGGGCACGGGTGGCCCAGTCGTCTAAGGCGCCGCGATTTGCTGTGCAGAGTTGCGTCCATTGTGCACGCCAGAAACCTATGATTGTGGGTTCGAATCACGGTTCACCCTGATTATGTTTCTAGGTTTGTCAGCATCATACCCGTGCTCGTGGGTTTCACCGAAGTAGTCAATGTCTGAGACCTGCATCACTTCGGGCTTTCCTCCCACATTAAGCTGACACTCTGTGATATAACTGTAATACTGTTAAAAGCGACATTAAACCCAACTCACTCACTCACTCTTTTTTGATCAAAAATAGATAATGATATTGTAGTTTGAAGGGAATAATGACCTCAATGAATTGGGGATTGTCTGTCCCTTGTGAAGTAGTGTTATTTGTCCGATGTCAGAGCTGCGACTCGCACGACACCTTAAACCTAATTTAAAAGAGATGATGTTTGTTTGTTTATTTAACGCCGCATTCAGCAATATTCCAGTTGTATGCCTGAGGTCTGTAAATAATCGGATCTGGACCAGAGATGACCATCATGAGCATCGATCAACGCAATTGGGATCAATGACATGCATCAGTCAAGTCAGCGAGCCTGGCCACACGATCCCGTTCGTGGCCTTTTACGGCAAGCGCAGTCGCCTTTTTACGGCAAGCAGGGGTTGCTGAAGACCTATTCGACCCCGGATCTTCACGGATGGCAGC